TTGGGACTGCGATCTGATCGAGAAGTGGGGAAAAGTACTTTGGATACTTTTCTAACCAATTTCGTTTTCATCTCAGCCATTTGGGGTTCGATCTGATCGAAAAGTGGGGAAAAGTACTTTGGATACTTTTCTAACCCATTTCGTTTTCATCTCAGCGATTTAGGGTTCGATCTGATCGAAAAGTGGGGAAAAGTACTTTGGATACTTTTCTGACCCATTTCGTTTTCATCTCAGCCATTGGGACTGCGATCTGATCGAGAAGTGGGGAAAAGTACTTTGGATACTTTTCTAACCAATTTCGTTTTCATCTCAGCCATTTGGGGTTCGATCTGATCGAAAAGTGGGGAAAAGTACTTTGCATACTTTTCTTACCAATTTCGTTTTCATCTCAGCCATTTGGGGTTCGATCTGATCGAAAAGTGGGGAAAAGTACTCTGGATACTTTTCTGACCAATTTGACTCTGATCTCAGCCATTGGGACTGCGATCTGATCGAGAAGTGGGGAAAAGTACTTTGGATACTTTTCTGACCAATTTCGTTTTCATCTCAGCCATTTGGGGTTCGATCTGATCGAAAAGTGGGGAAAAGTACTTTGGATACTTTTCTGACCAATTTCGTTTTCATCTCAGCGATTTGGGGTTCGATCTGATCGAAAAGTGGGGAAAAGTACTTTGGATACTTTTCTAACCAATTCCGTTTTCATCTCAGCCATTTGGGGTTCGATCTGATCGAAAAGTGGGGAAAAGTACTTAGGATACTTTTCTGACCAACTTGACTCTGATCTCAGCCATTGGGACTGCGATCTGATCGAGAAGTGGGGAAAAGTACTTTGGATACTTTTCTGCCCGATTTTATCTTCATCCCAGGCAGAGAGACTGTCAAATAATGATTCAGTGAGAAAAGTACTGCGTTTCCTGTGAAGGGAATTCAGTGTTTAGATGCTGAGATTATGAATGGTTGGGATTTGATCGTATGGTGGTTGGTGGCATCAATCTGTTGCATGATTGCGGTAGTTAGTATGTGTTTAGTCTATGAATGGGTTCAAAGCTCGCTGTTCATGGATGGAGAGGTTCGGATTGCTTTTCGGAGGCGGTATGCGTAGAATCTGCCTAGCTGGTTCCACGGGAAGAGTTTCATCGTTGTTTTTTTTGGCTGAGTTATGTAGCCGTTGTATTTTTTAATCAAGTTGTAGCTTCGTTTTGTCGGTCGGGGAGTGTTTTTCTTGTTGTGTATCCGTCTGATCGTTTGTGCGTTCCAGGCGTGGCATCAAGTTTTAAGTGCGTCGCGGTCAGAATTTGGACAAGGATTACGGCTCCATGAATGTTACTCCCTTTGCTGTGGACTTTACACGAAATTCAGTTCTTCCTGTGACGGTTTCTTTGTCTGTAGTGCCGGGTTGAAGACGCTCAGGAGCATGCTGTTGTCGGTGGGATCTTGCAGTCGTGATGAAAATATGTAGGTTCCTGTTAGTGGAATTCGTCGGATTTTACCGGATATTTTGAATTTTCAGTCATCGGCCGGAACTTCAGTGGAACCCTCAGTTTCCGTTAGTCGAAAACAGTCGGATCTAACTGTAAAATTTTCGGCATGAACCTCATGAATTCCGGCTGTCGGATGAGGATTGGAACTCTCAGTTTCCGCTAGTCGGAAACAGTCGGATCTAACTGGAAAATTTTCGGCATGAACCTCAAGAATTCCGGCTGTCGGATGAGGATTGGAACTCGCTGGTTCCGATACGTGATTTCGAGCTTATCTCATCGGAAGGTTCCGGCAGTTTCTGACTGGAATCCTATGAGTGGAAATCATGGGGAACTAGTAGTTACCGATGGGTGGAAACCGCCGGAATTCGTCTGAGAAATCCGGCTCACTTCCGGTCGGATTCCGGTTGCGAGGAACCGAATCATTTCCGGTGATTCACGTATGATTTCCGTGACGGAACCGGTCGTTTCCGATGTTTTCCATAGACTTTCCGGATACGATCCGGCACGGTTCCGGTCGCTGGAACGCTCGTCCTGGGTATTGATCTATAAAACTGTCACTGCTTCATCACTCTTTATTGAGGTTGATTTAAATTTATCACCACAACAAATGTTAATGTTTATTCGTGGTCTCAAATATGTCATACCATGTCAAAGTCGATTCTCTCGTCAGCCAGTGGATCAATTGGCGATTGAACAGTATGAAACCATGTTGAGTTCGAAGTTTTCTCTTCCTTGTCTTTTTATTTCTTCTATGTGTGACGTTTCGACGCTGATAGCGTCTTCTTCAGACTAACAACAAGATCTTGTTTACATAGGTATAAATACACTCTCTTTCGATTCTTCTTTTACGTTCTTTCTAGATAGTGGATCGGCAAGGCGGTGGTAGGGTGGAACTACTAGCAGTTATTCTTCTGCCGATCCACTATCTAGAAAGAACGTAAAAGAAGAATCGAAAGAGAGTGTATTTATACCTATGTAAACAAGATCTTGTTTGTTAGTCTGAAGAAGACGCTATCAGCGTCGAAACGTCACACATAGAAGAAATAAAAAGACAAGGAAGAGAAAACTTCGAACTCAACAAAATGTCCTTCCTACAAAACCGAAATCAAGTATGAAACCATATCAACAACAGTAAAGAACTGCCTAAAAGATCATTGTATGTCAACTACTGATCAACGAGCAGCAGAGGCGTTCCCAGAATTACGACGACTAATATCAGAACAATACTCCAAATCAGTATCAAAAACCATATTTCGACGAGCACAATATGAACATAAAATAATTAGAAGTATTCGACGTGTCTTACGTCTTCGGCCAGATATTGCAATACGTCGAACAGATAAATGCAAAGTATTCTACATCGGTAAAGCGGACGACTTTGCACGTAAAGCTGAAGAATACATGCTGAAAACAGAAGCATACCAAGAGATTACTACTGGCCATTATCCATTAGCTGATAATTTACATGCTGTACAGACTTTATTGAAGTATTTGCTTACAAGTAATGGTCTGACGAAAAAGCAATCTCAAATGTTATCGCCGAACTTAAATCGTCTTGAATTGGCCCATTATCATGGTCTACCGAAGCCACACAAAGTAAATCATCTGTATTTATTCGTTTACAATGAATTTGTCTTTGTATTTATTCTCTTGTAGCCTGGAACACCTTTGAGACCCATTATTGCATCGATGCATGTTCCAACAACATCACTATCGAAGTTTCTAAATGATTTACTGGCTCCCATATTCTTGAAGATGGCTCGTGAAACAACCTTCATCAGTGGCATCGATGTTGTTCGAAAACTAGAGAAGTATGCAGCCGATGGTCATCTGACATCAACAACGAAATTTATTACTGCTGATGTCACCGATTTATATACGATGATACCAAGACAGGGTGCCTTAGATGCATTGGCACGATTCTGTATCAAACATTCAAACAGAGGAAAAATCGGCACGTTATCCATTAATAACATCATGAAAATGGCTCGTCTCATTCTGGACACAAACTGTTTTGTTTACAATAATAAGTACTACCGACAAGTTCGTGGTGGAGCCATGGGTTCAGCATTCACACAAGTATTAGCTAATATCTACATGCTGGACTGGGAAGACGAGTTGATTCAACATCAAACAGCTAAGAACGAGATATATGGACGGTAAGCTATTATCAAACTTTTCTTTCTGGATCAACAGATTACAGTAATGTCTCTTTCAGATATATTGATGATATCTTCATGACTACAAACCAGTCAGTGGACGACATCACACAAAAGCTTGACACAGTACACAACAAAGATGTCAACATTAAAATCAACTATCAGATCAATGAATCAGTTGATTACCTCGATGTCACGATCATGAATGAGAGTGGTCGATTACGAACATTGATTTATCACAAGTCAGCAGCTGAACCTTACATTTTACCCTACACATCTGACCATCCTCGTCATATTCATCGAAATATACCGTATGCTGCATTGTTACGTGCAGCTCGTATCTGTTCAAATGTGGAAGATTTCGATGCTGAACGAGTGCGTAGTGATGTTTCACTCTTACTCAATGATTATCCACCAGACTTTCTTAAAAGACAGACGTATCGCTTCTTCCATGTAACTCAATCTATGACTGTCTTGGAAAAACTAGACAGACAAGCTTATGATCGATTACATCGAACACTGCTACATCAATCAGCAAGAAGAGAGAAGAGGCTTAAGTTGATAACAGAAGATCCAATCAAGACCCCAGCAGTACTGAAAGAAAAGAGATGGGATACTTCAAGAAAGTATCCAAGATATCTTTTCGACAGTGCCAGTACCATCAAATTTTCATCGCTGTTCCGCAACTGGTGGAACACCTACTATGTATATCCAGAATCACCAGTCCGTAATGTCCAGTCACGGTTAGTCACAAGCACCAATACAACACTCGAGCACTTCTTCATTCAGAAGAAACCACCGAAGCAAATATTGACTCACATGGAAGAAAAACAATATGAAGCGCCAAGCTAACTAACAAACAACAACAACGAGACAGTCTCATCTACTTTCTATTCTTTTTCATTTGATCCTGTCATCATTTGAGTTCAACATGCAGTTTGTCGATATTGTTTTCAATTTGAAATAAAATTCATCTAACAGTCGACAGATAGATTGTCTCTGTAGCTATTTCGTTCAAGTTGATCAAAGATAGTCAGCAAAAAGTTTATTTGTGATTACTGCATCGGAAATGTCGACCATTTTAAAACCCAATTGCTCTAGTTATCGAACACGATAAACACTTTTTCGTACAGTCTTGAACGATCCAGCGATAGTCTTCGTTCTCGAAGCTACTAGTATTAGGTAATCATCATCGTCAAACGATTTAGCTACGTAAGGCTGCCTTGCGTGGTTTGTCATTGTCATTTGTTATTGTTCAGCCACAAATAATAGCAAATGAACAAGACAGATCGGAGATGCTCTAATTATCGAATAGTCGGAAGTGACAATCTTCTAGTTATCGAACACGATAAACGCTTTTTCGTACAGTCTTGTACGATCCAGCGATAGTCTTCGTTCACGAAGCTACTAGTATTAGGTAATCATCATCGTTAAACGATCTAGCTGCGTGAGGGTGCCTTACGTGGTTTGTCATTGTCATTTGTTATTGTTCAGCCACAAATAATAGCAAATGAACATGGCAGATCGTAGATGCTCTAATTATCGAACACGATAAATGCTTTTTCGTACAGTCTTGTACGATCCAGCGATAGTCTTCGTTCACGAAGCTACTAGTATTAGATAATCATCATCGTTAAACGATCTAGCTACGTAAGGCTGCCTTACGTGGTTTGTCATGGCCAGTTGTTATTGTTCAGCCACAAACGATAGCGAATGAACAAGACAGATCGGAGATGCTCTAATTATCGAATACGATAAACGCTTTTTCATTCAGTCTCGTGTGATGCATTGATTGACTCGGTATTGAGGATGGTATGGTGATGATCTGACTGACTGGTCCGTGGCGTAGAAGTTCGTTATATCTGCATTTGAAATCGGAAGACGTATATGAAAGCATCGTTCGGCATTCATCGCTGATTGAGCGTCGTTATGCTTCAGTATCATTTGAACGACGATTTTCGTATAAATGAGAGTAAATGGGCATCTTATTTCTCATCGTTTTTCGTCGTGAAACCGATTCATTCGAGATTTTCAACGATCTTCTGTAGTTGGTGAATCATATGCTTCCTTTTACGAACCGTTGCGGTCGTTTGTGTATCATGTAAATTGTTAGTGGATGTGAAAGATAGGCTTCCTATCCTTCGCTGAAGCTCTGATTTGGTGCGAGATAAATGGTGATGCTCTAGTTATAGGGCATAATAAGCGTTTTTTCATGAAGATCGAGGATGATGTCAAGATTAAGTCACTGATTCGATCAATCTAGGAAGGAAACATGCATACATGTGCTCCTTTCTGTGTATTATTTCTCTATCATTATGTACGAACTCCGTTGTCCACAGTGAATGTGTCACAAGGTGTATATTGTCAAACGTTCGTAGTTTTCTACGTTAAACAGGGAAAGGATGAATAGGAAAAGACTCAGTACTGAGCATTTGAAAAAGAGCAAGTATCCAGTAGAATAGGAGTCTGGATTATATCTCCTAGATCATGTTCTCATCAAACAGCTCTCGAAAGGGTCGACAGAGACAAAAAGATGTACAGAATCCGTTCATTGTTGGATTTCTTGGCGAAATTTGTCTCTGACAAGGAGAAAACGATAAACAGTTAGTTGAACAGCTCCAGGAGTCTATCGTATGTGGAGGTTCCGATGTCCATGTCAAGCGTTAGAAGAGATCAGATGGGCATCAATGTCTATTGACTTTCATGCTACGCTTGGTACTGATCGAAGGGCTGTTTTGGTTGTTTGTTTGTTTGCATCTTTGTTCATTGCAACGATGTATGCTCGTCTCGGTCTGGTAAAATTCAATCTTATGTTCTCCGTAATATTGAATAGATAGTCTTCAATAAAAACACTTGTCTAATGTGTATCATGAGAAGTAGAATACGGAACGTATTGGTTTGTTATTTGTAGATTCATTTCTTTCTACAACTGTCAATGTCTTTTACTTCAACTGGTCTTGATCGCTCCTGTCTCGATCGAGACAATCAGGGCAACGTAGGTTTATCAGTTTCATTGACCTGTGTCAGCCAGTCTAATGCTTTCCTACTTCAGTACGTGTTGCCATTTTCGCGTCGTATTGTCGATGCCCGTCTTCTTCGTCGTGGTCCAGACGAAGTTGATATGTAAGTCTATCATAAATGTCCATCGAACAGATGCAGTCTATTTTGGTGCTTTATTTGTATTCGTAGGATTCGTCATTTTCCAGACGAGGGTTCATTGCTACACGAAAAAATTATTCGTTTCCTCGGTCTGGATGAAGGTGGCTATTATGTCGACCTTGATTCCTCGCTGGACGACGATGAAGAAGACGAGGACGAGGAAGATTTCCATCGAGAGGTGGTCGAATGGACCAAAATCTTTTTGGCCATGCGTGGCCATCAAATATACAATCCAAAGTCCATCAATTGATGGACGTTGGAGGGTCATTGTGTGTGTGCGGGTATGTGTGAGTGTATGTGTGTGTGTATATGTGTGCCTGTATGTGTGTGTCATATTTCTATTAGAATTGTCTTGAAATACTGAATAAATTCTGAAATAGAGCTAATTGATTTCATCTCTTTTGTTTTTGTCCGACAAAATCCAACCTTTCACTTCCTCGTAGTGTCGGACGGGCAACGTTCATCTTCATCATTCTCATGATGTGGGTGAACGGCTAGGAAGGGCTCTGGTTTCCTATATCTAACGACGATTAAGTGTCGACAACGTATGAAGCGATGAATTGTTTCATTCTATACGTTACTTTTGGTCCCTAGTCGATGTTTTCTTCATGAAAACATGTTGGTTTCGTATTGCAAGACCACGTCAGATGAATCAAAATCTCTTCTGTTTGAAAGAAACTCAAGTGATTATCGACATGTACTTCTCGACAAGAAAAAAAAGTGAACGTTCAAATATCAGCCGTTATCTATCTTCCGTTACATGAATAACAATACCTGAACGGAAATTGAACTAGTTTGCATGGTATCGTCGGGCGAACTTTCCTAAATCAACAAAACATACTGATCATGATATGATCGACTTTTTCGAATGGTTTTGTCGCACAAACGTGTGCCTTCTTCACATACGAAACAGATATCCACATTGATTCATCTATTCTCACTGATGTTATAAGTCTACCTTGACTTCGACATGTATTAATTCTTTTGAATATTGAAAATTCTTCTGAATGACCGTGTAGTTTATCTTGATCCTTAACATGCCTGATGATGACTGCTTAAGCAACAGTCGAAACTCGTCGTGAGAAGCTTGGAATCTTCTTGGAAACTCACACCCTCACACCCACACCCTCAAGTAGGCGAAGCAGCAATAGCCTCGATCGATGAATTATCATTGGCATTGGAATTTTATTTACAATTCGACGGTAATGATGGTTCATTGAATTCGATTCATTGTGTTTCTTCTTCTTTCAGTGGATCTCTTCTTTATGAAGACATGTGACTTTCGAGAAGCACAACCACGATCGATCGGTGAACAACAACGCAAAGAAGGTCTCCTCTGTGAACTGGAACCTTGTGCTCGTTATGGAATGAAACCTTGTGGTCAATCTCGATGTTTCCTATGTAAATCAGAACGAAACATGATCGTCATTCAATATGCTGAACAACAACTACATACATTTATCAATGGTTATCAAGCCATTCTCAATTGTCCAGCAGTAAGTCTTGATATTGTTTCATTCAATTTCTATGGACACTTTTGTTTGTTTGTAGACATGTGAAACATCGAATATTATCTATGCACTAACATGTCCTTGTGGTGACTATGATTACATCGGTTCAACATCCAAATCTTTGTTCGATCGAATATCAGGTAGATGTCTTCTTCTGGATTGATGGAAATAAATCTTAGTTCAATTTTTTTCTTTAGAACATCGTGAAGAAGGTCATCGAATCATTCGAGAATTTCTCTTTGGACCGGACAATGTCAAGATGATGTTCATTCAGAGTCAACGAAACAAAGAGTAAGTCTCCGATTATCCTCTACTCGGTCATCATTGCATTTTTCTTCGATCTAGACCCTTGGCCAATCCATACGATCAATGCCTCTATCATCATTCATCACGTTGTCAATCTGGTTTACAACGATTTCTCGATCGTAATCCAGTCTATTGGTGTTTCGTACCACAAACGTGTGGTCGTGTGTCATTGGACAACGAACAATTCTGGGATGCCAAGAAGAAGATGAAGGATCAAAAGAATCGAACATCGGCATTTACTGCTGATCTGACGGTTCCCATGGAAGAACATAATCGATCGTTATCAATCTCATCAGCCACTGGATCAAGCAAGTCAATGTTTTTCGAAGCTATTGTCGTTGATATGAAACGAACACAAGAAGATGCACAACGATTGATCCGTGATCTACCGGGACCACCGAAAGGTTACGACTTTTCTCTTCAACAACGTCAAGAACAATTCGATTTCTTTCGTGAGAAACGAGAACAACGTGTCGTTCCTTCGGATTACGTTCATCTCTACAATTATTCGATGGTTGCTGTTTGTATGTGTTCATCTTCTTCGAGATCATCTCTGTTGACTTGTTCTATTTAGTACCGATGCATTGTTCACGTAATCTACGACGATTTATCGAATCACTTTTCATTACACATGCCGAAGCAAAACTGAATTTAATCGGTCGATTGACACATCCCTATCCGAATGTTTCATTCGATAGTACTCATCGTGGTGACTGGTGTTCAGGTTTAATTCATCCAACCATGGCTATGAACAGTGAGACTTTTTAGTTGTCTTCTCTTCTTCATTTTTTTTTTATCTCGCATGAATAAAATCTTCAGTAGCAATCATCAGTCGATGGTGTTATTTTATTTCTTGTTTCTCATTTCAGATTTTCTATTCATATTCATCATGTTTAACTTCGATACCGACGATGAACAACAGTAAGAAGAAAAGATCGATCTATCAATGTTGATCTCTTCTCTTCTAGAAGTGGCAGTGACGAAGAAATAATTCGTTTACTCAATGGTCATCACTTTGTTCATCGACAGAAAAAGAAATCATCATCATCCAATAATACAACGATGAAACTTGTTCAACACAAGAAATTAATGGAATTCAATTATCTACCAGCCTTTCAACCAGTCAAACCATACGTGGTCCATTTCATCAATCATCGAACACTATTGACTAAGATCTTCACTCTGTTGGATCAAGCAAAACAAACGTTGAACTATACACTGGACGTAGAAGGTGATGATCATACCAACAAATCTTCTTTAATTCAAGTTGAATATATCAACGATCAAGCAGAAGAATTGACAGTGTTACTTTTCGAAATGGCTCATCGTCCTGAATCAACCACTCGCCGATTTCTATTCATACAGAAATTATTTACCATGATTCTACATCCATCAAATACAATCTTTACATCGGACAATAAGAAACGACAATTATGTGACTGTGTTACCTATCAAGTATTCTCCAATGATCTGATCGATTCAATGCATACCGTCGATATACAAATGAAATTTAAACTTTGGTACAATCGTCAATTTCCACATGATCGATCTTGTATGGGAACAGCAATGGGTGCAGATCATCCCTGTTGTCATTGTCAACATCGTCCATACAAGTATATCGATCGTCGATGGGGATTACAAATGGCGATGGCTAAAACATTTGGTGAATTTCTCGATAAACAATTAAGACGAAGTCGTTGGAGTCTGGGTCTTGATCAACGATTATATTCAGTCAATGAAAAAGACCGTCAACTTCATTCGTCGAGTCAATTGGATCGTGAAAAATTGATTCACTATGCTGTCTGTGAATGTTCAAGTGTTACCAAATTAGCAATGGTCATCAACAATGAATGGACTCGTGAACAATTGGAACAGTACAAGAATGAACATTGACCTTTTTTTCTTCTATTCAAACTATCAGCGAACAGTAGTGCATAGATTGATTTTATTTCTTTTCTTTTCGTTGTTCTAGATTCATAGTTTCCAAAATATCATGAGTGATTGGTGCAAAGAATTCGAACAATTATTGGATGACATCATCGGTACGAGTGAGAGACAGATGGTCTTCTTTAATGATAATTTTGTTTTTGACAATTCTTTTAGATAAACATGGCTCCAGAAATGTCGATGACAATCCATACACTGGATCAACAGTACAAGAAGAAATCGAATCTATTGAAGAGAAGGAACCATTTCAAGAAATCAATGGTATCGTTAGTCTCGACGATTGTATGCAATGTGATGTTCGATTTGAACAATGTCGAGTAAGTAGTCAATCAACTGAGAGTACTATATTTGATACATTGTCATTTTAGATTGAAGATTCTTATGATGCAATTGATGAACAAGAAACACTTGAACAACAAATTCAAGAACAACACGAAGAAGAGAAGCTGTTCGAACAATCGGATGATAATGATTATCATCAGCCAAGGTTCTCCGTAAACCAAGAAGAACTGTATACAATTGAAGAAGAAGAAGAAGATCTAGTAGAAACGGACATCTATTCGTCTTAATAGAGATGAATAGAATGATGTCCGTTATGCAAACTTGTTTTCCGTTCTTTTCTTTTTTGTTCATGCTTCTCTATTGTTCTCTATTATTTCTAGATAGACAACGATTGAAAATGGCTAATCAAATAGAAGGCTCCGTGGACATGGCTGTTCTAGTCTATTCCACAGAAAACGACTATGATCCGGATGCACCATATGCCACGGAAGAAGAAAAAAAGAAAACAATTCCACTGGTTCAAATGCCAGAATATTAACTCAATGCACGTCCACTATTGCATACCATTGAAAGATATTCAACTGGTTCGACAACAATTCAAAGAACAAAATCGTCTTCTAATGAAAACTTACCGATCCCATGGCATGTATTCATGCAGCGTCGATGAATTCGAATCCAATGTCTCCAAATTCTTTACACAAACCAATGCGTATCATTTAATCGAAACATTAAAAGAACCGAATTCCTTTGGCACGGCAACATATTTGGCTGATCTTGTTAACGCAGTGAAAACAATGCTCGATCATCTTGTACAACAGCAATCGATCAATTCAAAACAACGTGAATGTATGCAAACTGGACGTTGCAGTGTTCAATCCGATTATCTCTTCTTTTTACCGGACACACGCAAAGTGAATAGGATTCATTTCTTTTCCTTGACGATTCTTCTCTCGCTCTCTGTTTAGAATGGATTCACTTTACAACCAATGATGGTTTCTTCGACCAGTCCATTCGCCAATATGTCTCAATTCGTGAATGATCTTCTACAACCGATTTATCGTCAATTCGCATCGAACACCAGTTATTTCAAAGGAGCTGATGCTATTCGAGCTCTTGAACAATATCAAAAGCAAAATTATCTACGATCAACAACAATCTTTGCTACATTACATATTCATCCTATCTTAACTGTATTCGATCATGAACATGCCATTCAAACATTGGAACGTTTCCTCAATGGTCGTACCACAGCTGAACAAATGCGAGGTATCTCAATTTCAACGATTCTTCGATTGGTTCGTCTAGTTCTGGAACAGCAATGGTTTATTTATGATGGCAAAGTCTACAAACAAGTTCGTGTTGGTAGTTGTGATTCACCATTGATCGTATTCTTAGCCAATCTTATTCTTTTCGATTGGGAACAAGAATGACTTTCATCGTTCAAACAAAACAATGAGATTTATGGACGGTAACTTCACGTCGATCTATGTTGTCTTCTTTTTTTTTCATATTGATCTATGAATAGATGCTTGTATGAAATCTTCTTTACATGGAATCAATCTCAAAATGAACTCGAAACGTTGATTCAATCGATGACTATGAAAAATAAGTTCATTCAAGTACAATTCGAAATCGGAACACAAGTGGATTATCTCGATGCAACAATCCAACTGGTCAATAATGACGATGATCCTCGTGTACTTCTATTGGAAACACGAGTACATCATGAAACCAAAGCGGAACCATATGCATTACCTTATGTCTATGATTATACATCGTATATGGAGTTCTCAAAATTAATTCGAGTAGCATTGATTCGTGCTGCACTTTGCTGTTCTGATATCGATCAATTCCAACAAGAACGACAATATATCGAACTATCATTTACGATGAATCAGTTTCACACTCGTTATATCCACAAACATGTCGCTGCCTTCTTCATGGAATTCAATGTGGAAACATTCGATGCTGGAACGGAAGATCCAATGATGTACAATCAATTACGTGCGAATGTGATCGATTATGATCAAAAGCGTCAACGAAGGTCAATCAACGAACATCACGAACCAACCAATCCTCCATGCCTTCCCTCGTCGAAAAGATTCTCCATGTCTAAACTTATGAGATCTTACCGTCAACGTCATCGAATACGTCCATCCAATGTTCGAAAACTTTTCAATTAATGAACAGTATTGTTTTCTCTTACTTTTTCTGTTCGTTCAGTGTTATTCATTGCTTGTTATTCATTTTAGTATCAGTATTCACGTTTCATTGTTCATTCTAGATAAATCTATGGAAGTCGATCAACTACCATTAAATCGAAAGAAAAAGAGATGTCATGGGAATCGAAAATTACAACGATTCAAACGAAAATGGCGTTACCGTGGATTGAATGAACAAGAAATTCAAGATTTCGTCCAAAATCGACAACATCCAGCTGATCCTTCTCCATCAGTGAACCCAAATAAGAAACGACAACGATCTCAACCAGCGAATGAAGGCGAAACCAATACAACTGTTCGATCGTTAAGTCAACTGTCGATTTCCCAACAACAACCTAAATCAAAGAAGAGAAAAGTCCATCAAGAAGAAGTGACTACAACAGTATCGATCAATTCAATTCCCATGTAAGTTTGCATCGATTCTGACATAGAGACATTTTCAATTCTGTTGATCATTTGTTTCTCAATATTTTAGACCATCGATCTATTTGAAAATGCCAAAAAAGTTACTCTACTGTTCGTTACCTCGTCAATTGAACTGTCGATTGAAGAAGAAAAGAGAAAAACGATTTGTTTTCACTCGTCTTCGATTACTCGATCAACAATTCTGTACTGGCATGGATCAATATCTGTATCAATCTTATTTAGATATTGGTTCCCATTCGAAACGATGGCCAGTCAGTCGAACGTTTGATTTTAAAGATTCGTTCTTGTTTGTTTTTTCTTCTTCTTTGAAGGACGATCTGATGGTACTGGCTCAAACGAAGGATTCTGATCAAGTTGAACATTTTCTTCGAACACAATTGGTGAATCGACAACAAACCTTCGAAGAATGTTCAATACAATTGACCAGTCAAGCGACATCTTGTCCAATAACAATGAAATTCTCATCGATTGAAGATCGATTGAAAGAATTCGTCCGTCTACATCATTTGGATTTAGTTAGACGAATCCATTTTCAAATCAATGATTTTAAAGGTCGTATCATTGAACATGAACTGTTTCAACAATGGTCATCATCGTGATCGTTGACCAATGAACAAGCTAGAAGTTCGAATTCTTTTTCCAATTTTACCAAAGTCAATCGATGATTTGGATCAATTTATTCCGCCACATCGTCTATCTCGTGAGAAAAACGATGATCCATCGGTGTATGCATTGATTAAACAACATCAGAAATCAATTCGAGATTACAAACGACAACTATTGATCCAGCAGTTCGAAAGCTATGAATCAACCATTGAACAATATGAATTTCTCTATCAAGAAACATTATTCAACTTGGAATCACAATTATCAACGACAAACGATCAAGATCTGATGATTTCTATTTACAATTATCTTTATTGTCGAACAACGAATCAACAACGTTCAATTCGATTCAATGAAACGTTATTTCGTCATCGACTCTTACATCCTCGTCATCGTCGATCAACAACGACTAAGAACAGCAATAGTATCAGTATTTATCCAGAAGCAATCATCGACATATTCGAACAAGTCTTCAACAAGAAAGAGTTGGATTTACTTTCATCTCTAGGTCAGTAGAAGAATGTCAACTGTTTTACACTGAGATTGATCTTCGTTCGTTCTAGGTGGACCTAGTTATATTCGATTGAATCAAAGTTCAGTCAAAAAGAAGGCAGTCGTCGAACAGAAGCTTCAATTGCAACATGCTACTATCATGGATAAACTCGCTTCTGAACTTCATCGTCGACATGGTTTACCAATGCAATCAGCTATTATAAAGAAATTTAGCGATCAATTGAAAATGATGTTGAATCAACCATCGTCAACATCATTCTCGTATCATGGTATACATCGTAAAAAAGAAGATCTGAAGACAGTTCTCTTCATCAAACGAAAGCTGAAGATATTACCAGTGATTATTCGTCAATCGGATAAGAGTGGCGTGATCCATATTGGTTACAAGATTGATTACGATCGAAAAGTATTGGAATATCAAGAAAAGACCAAAGCTTATGTTGAATTATCGTCGAATCCATTACTGGACACGTTTCAAAAAGTCATTCGACTATTGAATGATTTGAATTCAAAAAAACAGATTCGAGTATGGCAATACAAGAAGATGATGCCCAGTCGAGAGAAGATGCAATTGGCATATCTCTATTTCATACCGAAACCACACAAAGTAAATGAATTTTCTATTGAATTGAATGACCGATCTATGCTTCTAGGAAGGAACACCATTGAGACCAATTGTTTCATCGATTCTGGCACCAACCACAGGCATATCAAGAATGCTTGATCAATTGATTCGACCTCTCTTCGATGAACATGTTCAACAGACAACAATTATCGATGGTGTTCAATTTATTCGTCGTCTTGAATTATATGTTCAATTGGGTCTATTGAAACCAACGACACGTCTATGTACGTGTGATGTTACTGATCTTTACACCATGTTACCACAAGAAGAATCCATTTCAATCGTGAAACAATTCCTTCGTCAATTCAATTATGCCAATATCAAAGGAATGTCCATCGAAACAATTGAACAGTTAGCAAGAATAGTTCTTACAGAAAATGTCTTCATCTACGAACAAAAATATTATCGTCAAGTGGTCGGTGGTGCGATGGGTTCTCCATTCACGTTAACATTAGCCAATATCTTCATGTGGCATTGGGAACAGACATTGGTTGAATATCAACGAAATTCCAATGAATTATATGGACGGTCAGTTAAACTTCGAGTCGATTCGATTCTTTCTTTTCGATTGTTTTAGATATATCGATGATATCTTCTTAACTTCGAATGATTCCATGGATCAAATCAATCGGATGTCAGGGAAAGTCAATCGTCAACATCCAAATATTAAAATTACTTCAACAATTGATAATCCAACTTCATTCTTATGTGAAGATCAACAACGTCGATGGAATTAGATGGGTTACATCCGTCTATCATAAAGAAGCTGCTGAGCCTTATGTTGTTCCATTTCAATCCGATCATCCACGACATGTTTTCGTTAACATTCTCGAGTGTGCTCTACTTCGTGCTCTTCGATATTCATCCAACTTAGAAGAATTCAATCATGAACGACGTCTGATCAAATCAATGTTACTATTCAATGGGTTTGATTGTCTTTTTTTAAATATAGAACGATTCTCAGTTAATTTTCTATTTCATTTATCCAACTTGGTTCATCTACAAACAATTCAAGAACTGTTTCTCGAAACATTCGTTTACGGCAACATCGATTATTCCAATGGTTCATGATGAAAATGAATTCTTATTGATTCGTCGTCAATTGTTAAATCAAACAACCATTCATGAACATCAACGAGCTGCACGTATTGCTCAAACGATGGATTTCAATGATTTTCCTTCCAATATCGATCCATTGGTGAAAGAAAAATTATTGAAACGACGAGAACGAATGAACTCGATCATTATCCATTACACATATGAGAAACGATGGTCACATTACGGACGAACCATTCATCAACTATGGAATGATGTCTTTCAGAGTACACCGATTGAATCGACAACATTGATCAGTGGCACTCGAAACAATCCGAATCTATCGAAGGAACTTATTCGTCGAAATCCATTCCACAAGAAGAAGAACAACAATGAACCGAATTCGATCAACGATACATCCAATCGATAGAAACAACGATGGATGATCATTGAACTTGGTCTTCGTTTGATAAGTTCTTTTTTTTATTCGTTTGTCTTGTTTTCTTTTCAATGATTTCAGTAATGTATGGTTCCATATTTTGTGATGGAATCAATCGAACAGTTTGTTTTATGTTAAATTATTCATTATTATCGATATATTTGTCTCGTTTTCTTTTCTATTTCGTGTATTTTGAATTGATTCTAGCATTTCTAGTTCTTTTAGTTTGAATTTTCTTTTCTTCTTTTATGGTTCTATGATTGAATGTTTTAGAATATTACTTTCGTCTTTCTCATTAGATATATCATCAGTCGACACTAGTCTTGTTTGTTTACCATTTGGATCAACTGGTTCAATATTGAGAATCGACCAGTGATACTATTCAAGATAAGAAACAAATTCAAGATTCCATTCAGTCCAATGACTTTCTATTCTAGGAACAATCTTCGATGGATACGGATGATGATTTGACGACTTAAGTCGATGAAATCAATAGTGATCTGATATTGATCAAGTTTTTGTTTCAAACATGGATAAGTATTGACATTCAAGACTTTTCTCTCTTGTTGGTCTAACATTGATTGTTTTATTCATTCATTCTTAGGTATTCGTTGAACAATCGATGAGATGATGAACTCTTTCAATTGAACCAAGTGATAGTTGAATGAACCACGAAGAAAACTTCTGCAGATTCTACCAAGAGAAGTTATTCTTCCTCAATCTAGTTGTTCGATATTCATTTTCGTTAAACTTCTCTTTCATTTGCTTTAGAGAAGATGTTCTTTATTCATCACGACGATATTTCGGAATCAATCATTCGAACTACTTGGTCAACTCTTCTGAATAACGATTGAATGACCTTCAACTGTGACAGAAAAAAAGAGATCGCTTCATCAATGCAATTATTATTGGTCAAACAATATCCATCAAAGTCGATTGTATGTCTTTGTAATCGAGATTTTATTTGCTGGAGTTCAACTTTTTCTTTACTTTCTAGTTGAATCAAACTTAATTCATCAACATTGATCACAAGTTCAACATTCTTCGATTAAATCTGGTGATTTATCTCTTGATTCAATATTTCTAAACATTGAATCAGTATTAACGAAAGATTGAACCTTTCAATCGATAATATTACTTTTATTGATCACCAAACTCTACAAGTCCACTCAGGTGATTTAGTTTCAACTGATGAGAAGTCACAAAAGATAAATGTTTCATCAGCTTCTTCAACTTCTCTTCAATTAGAATTCATGAGAGAAGGAATTTTTCTCTTCATTTTGAGTAGTGTTCTTTTTCTTTTCTAGAATGAATTGAATTTTGATCATTTGAACAACTAAAGAAGAGTATTGCCATCTGATGAGTCCCTTAAGCAAGGACGAAACCGGTCATGGCTAGCTGACTCACCCTCACCCTCACCCTCACCCTCACCCTTAACATTCCACAACATCCATAACGCAGAGTATGTGACGAAGAAATGACGATGATCTTAGAATAGATCGAAAGCTCGTGTATCTTCGTCGTACTAATTTACCAGTATGCTCTTCACTGCAGTTCTCAGCTTCTTCCTCTCATTTCTTGTTCCAACTGCCTCACCCACCCATTTGCATATTGTTCATTGTTAAGTCTTCTCGTTATAGCTTTTTCTTCGTCTTTCAGTTGTTGTCGTTCGTCGCTCAATAATTTCATTTCGCCAATTCGCGTTTCCAGTTCAGCAAATAACTGAGAAGCGTCTTCCTGATTGTCCGTCAATGATGCGTCGATCCTCTTTTTCTCCTCTTTTACTGGTTTTGCTCGATCATTCACCTTTAAATGTTCTTTTTTACAATGATCGTACAGACTTGTCTTTTGATTGTCGACGTTTTTGAATAATTCCAAAACTTCACTGTCAGGTTGCCATTTTTGAAATAATTTCCTATTGATCTCAGATGTTTCTGCTCCTGATGCATTCGCCATTTTCAAGTTCAAATGTTTTTTTTTCTATCTCAAAGAATCCAAGTAAGAGAAAGATGCAAAAGTTCATCAAGTTTTTCATTTTATGATTCAATTCTAAAAATCGAGGGAATCATAAGGTGCTAATATGGTCTGAAATAGTATGACTCTTTTAAGTGAGAAAAGTGACTACTACACTCATTATCGGCAACACAGCCTTATAGCCATTCGTTTTTATTGCTCACGAAATAACCAACATTGACAGACAACTCGATCAGATACTCGCGTCAGTAGATATCAACTTCTTTTATTGCTCATTTACTGACAGACAGGAGAGAAGAAATCCACCCAACAACGTCATCATCGTATTTGACTGCCACAATGCTTTTTCACTTATCTCTACCTTCATTCTTTCGTGGTAAAAATCCATTGAAAATTTTCTCTCGTAGACAGAAACTTGAAGAGAATTGAGTGTGAGCGATTCAGTATCAAGTTATGTCGAAAAGACAAAGCAAAATCATGCAGTCATAGAAATTTTACCGGTAGACTTTGAATATTTCGTGTGTCTTGCGTTCTGGCTTTTGCAAGAGATATCACTATCATGAAAGATGATTATATTCATTCTCATGCATACTAGTAGCGCACTTTCTTGTAGCACTTATCTCTTCTAGCGAAAGACAGTCTTTTATCGCACAACTGCCAAAACCAAAGTAAGCATACCCGACGGGTATGTGTTCAATTCCCTTGGTCCTTTTAGTTCAGAATCTGTTCCGAAAACGTCTTCATAGTATCTGTCCATGTTCATCGACTTTTGATTCATTCGACCATGTGCTGACTGTCTCAGAGTACACCTTTGGAAAGCGAGGCTCGACATCTCTTCACTGCGAAGCAAATAGGAAGTTGTACAGGACAATGTCTGATGATCTGACGACCTAGACGACTTCATTCATCGTCATGTAGATCCTCAATTCTATGCGATCCTTTTTGCGCTAAACGACACAGTGGGAGTCAAGGAGGCCGAAAGACTATGCTCTGGTCGATACTTCTACATTTACCTCACTGTAGAAAGGTGTCGTGATGAACGAAAAAAACGCTTTTTAAAAGTGCAACTAGTTACAAACTCTCGCTACCGTTCATGATCAAGTCATGAAATCGTATCATAAAGCATTTTTCGTACCCAAAATGCACACGTAAAGAAGGTTTATGAAACAGTGCATCCAGGCGTTTCTCTTCTGCTGGAACCTACAAATGGTTCACTACTGGTTGCAAATGCTGAAACGCTTCTCTCAGGATTTATTCACCCTATGCAATAGATATGCCTACTGAGAGAAAAATGTGGTTGATGCGTTGGAAACAGTACTTCGGTCACATTTCATCTGAAAGGAAATCGAAGCACAATTTTCAACACATCAGGCACAATTTTCTCTTCGCACTCATCTTCAGATAAGTGTCTGCAAGACATAGCTTTCATGCTAAATTTTTGCAGTGTTTTCATTTGCCGTTCGCATTCATTGATGAGGTTCCATCTTCGTACCATAAATTGATAAATCCAGCACAAACTAACATCAAGGAAGATTGCTGAGATCAGTAATGGAGAGACACACTTAAGAAGAAACACTTAGTTCAACTCATTTCCATGTCTCATGCCGCATAGTGAAAGAGAAACCGAGTTTTAGGTATCACTTCTTCTTACGTCTTATGGGACTTCTACATTTCACATAGGATACGGTAGAATCTAAACAACAAAAAATCGTTTTGCAAGTAACAAGTCATCTCGAAGATGATGAAACTAAAATGAACAATAAGTATATCGGTTGAAGGAATCTTGGGACTTTCACACACTACCTCCTTTCAAACTACCATCTGCAAGACAATAGATTTTGAGATAAACATGAAAATTCATTTCTACTTACTTTCACTTTTCGCTCGATATTTCACATTGGAGATGATTGAATCCGAAAGAGAGATACAAAGAAGATGACTCTTGAAACTATTTCGAACCACTCTTCATACTCACCAATTATACGGGCAGAGTTTTCACAGAACATCATGTCTTGAACATCAAGAGAAAAATAAATAATTGCGAAGCATCTGTATAATTGATATTTTTATGTATGATTGAGATGAGAAGCTGAATTTTTGGATAAAACATATTACAAATTGGCCGACTGATCCGAATGAAGGAGAATGACGTTCAGGTTTGTGACCATGTTCATTGGAAGCGTCGATGCGATCAGTTTGGCCTCGACGAGACAACTGACCAATTTTCATCAAACTAATCGATGCGGTAATGAGAGAAAACCATAACAAAGAAGAAACATCCATGTATCAACTTTTCAGTCGTATCGGCCATCGAAATTCGTTGTTGAATCCAGTCTCAATACTTGGAGAATGATTATCCATGATCAGATTAGTGGAATCCTAAAACGGCAATAGCATCTGATCGTGAGAGTGAAGTTCAAAACAAAGATGGAGGGAAAAGGTTTTTTTTTCGAGCTCACTCGTTGACAGAATGGCATTTGATTGAGATAAAACTTACAAAATTCTGTATCGAACACGTGCAACGTCATTTCATTGAGAAGAAGAGACATGCATGACGAACTTCGATGTGATTTTGTTTTCCTCACATCTGATCACGTCGTTTTCATTGAAAATGTCAATGAACTAGTCACCGCGATGAAATGTAGAGTTCTGTATAGTTTTTCTCACCTTTCAAGACAATAAAAAAACCTCGAATCGAATGAGACGCATTTATGGAAATCTAAGACAAAATTGAGAAACCCCTAATGATGTCAATAATCAACTGTTTTTCGTAAAAATTTTACTCGGATTGAGAGTGAATAGATTTTAGAAATCCTACTTTTATTCTCCAAAACCTTTAAGTAGCGGTAAAAACTTACCTGTGTATAAACGATCGGATTTATAAACGAAAAAAAGGTTTGAGCAGTTGTCTTAAACCTTTGAAGAGTTTATAACGCGCTTTTGAAACGTTTTCCGTTCATCACGATACCTGTTTTTTACAGTGTACAGATGTACTGAGATGAAAGCCAAGTGATGATCCTCGTAGCTGGGACTAAATCTAGGTATTGGCAGCTTTGTCTCACCCTCGTGATTAACTTTATTCAGCATGGGTAAAGAAAAAACCCATATCAACATTGTCGTCATTGGTCACGTCGATTCTGGGAAATCGACCATGGCTGGTCACTTGATCTACAAATGTGGGGGTGTCGACAGACGAACCATCGAAAAATTGGAAAAGGAAGCCAGTGAAGTAACATCGCCTTCTTTTCGGCTTTATCTTCACCCTCTTTGTTCCCCTTGAGATTGCCTACTGTGGGTTGAAATACGCGTGGGTGTTGGACAAACTCAAAGCTGGACGTGAACGTGAACTCACTATTGACATTTCACTCTGCAAATTCGAAACAGCAAAATACTATGTTACCATCATTGATGCTCCAGGTCACCGTGATTTCATCAAAAATACGATTACTGGTACATCACAAGTATGTACTTTCTTTTCTCTTTTCTCAAACATTTAATCATTTCTCTTATCTAGGCCGATTGTGCTATTTTGGTCGTTGCTGCTGGTACTGGTGAATTCGAAGGTGGTATCTCGAAAAATGGTCAAACACGTGAACATGCTTTACTTGCTTACACCATGGGTGTCAAACAAATGATCGTCGTCGTGAACAAGATGGAGACAACTGAACCACCATATTCATACGGACGATTCGAAGAAATCAAAACCGAAGTCTCTGCTTACATCAAGAAGATCGGTTATGCCTACAAAGGTGTCGCTTTCGTTCCCATCTCGGGCTGGGACGGTGACAACATGGTTGAACCAACAGAAAAAATGCCATGGTACAAGGGATGGTCGATCGAACGAAGAGAAGCAAACGCAAGTGGTAAAACACTCTTAGAAGCTCTCGATGCCATCGTCCCACCAGCACGACCCACTGACAAACCACTTCGATTGCCACTCTCAGATGTCTACAAAATCGGTCGTATCGGTACCGTGGCCGTCGGTCGAGTGGAGACTGGTGTTCTCAAACCCAACATGGTCGTCAGCTTTTCTCCATCGAACTTGCAAGCAGAAGTCAAGTCGATCGAAATGCATCACGAGCCTCTCGACGGTCAGTACGAAAGAAAAACGCACCGATGATCACTGTAGAAGTGTTCGATGAGTTTTGCAGAAGCTGTGCCAGGTGACTATGTTGGCTTCAACGTGCCCACCATCAATGTGAAAGCACTCCGTCAAGGTTTTGTTGCTTCTGATATCAACAACGATCCCGCTCAGGAAGCAGTAAGTTTCGTCGCTCAGGTAAGATCGATTGGAGTGCTTGGAGCGAAGCTCAGGGCCCCCTCGTTGTCGTAGGTCATCATTTTGAATCACCCTGGTCAAATCGGTGCTGGTTACGCTCCAATTGTCTACTGTCACACGGCGCACACTGCTTGCAAGTTCGCTGAGCTGTTGGAAAAAGTCGATCGTCGATCGGGTAAAACCATCGAAGAAGCGCCAAAATTCTTGAAATCGGGTGACGCTGCCATGGTGAAGATGATTCCATCGAAACCGATGGTTGTCGAGAAATTCTCTGACTACCCATCATTGGGTCGATTCGCCATTCGTGACATGCGTCAAACGGTTGCTGTCGGTGTTATCAAGAGTGTTGAGAAGAAAGCGGCAGCTACGGGCAAGGCAACCGAATTATCTGCTAGCGTAGCTGTTGACGATGGCGAGGATCCCCACTGAAAAAAGATGGATTGAAACAATTTATCATCCGATTTTTCTGCAACAAAATCTAGATTGAAATCGATTGAAATCCTCGAAAGCTTAGAAAAATCTTGATTTTTACCGAGATTCCAGTGAATTTTGTAGAAAATAATTGATTTTAACTAAATTTCTTGTCCACTTCAAGATTTCCATCGATTTCAATCTAGATTTTGTTGCAGAAAAATCGGGTGATAATCTTAAAAAATCTTCTGAAATCTTCATTTTTTCCACTGGGGAGTAAGCAAACTTAACTTTCCCTAAACTTTCTTTCCCTTCAGCTACCTACCATTGTAACCCTCATCGGCAGAACAGCAGCTAAGCAGTAGGAGTGTCATTTACGTGTTAATTTGTTTTAAATTTAAATTGAATCGATTATTTACTTTTGCCGGCAATCCCTTATTTTTTTCGCGTACTTCATTGTGGTACAGCTTGTTCGCTGTTCTACTCCATAGCTAAGCTAGCCAGTAGTGCACTGGCACTGGCGATTTCGATAGAAAACGAATAAGGATGATAAAAGGAGCGAGCAACACTCATTTTGGAGCTTTGAGAAATCATCGTCAAGAGTTTTTAGTCAAAGAATGAGAAGGATCAGCTGTGCGTCTTTCGCTCCATCGATCCCCAGATCGATGAGTACTGGTCAGAACCTCAGAAAAGTACCGAACAACGTATTGAATACTGGTTAATTGATGATGACGTATCGATGTGGATTGACAAGTTAGAAGACACGATTTGATGCGTCCAACGAGTTTCCAGGAAACTCATTTGAACATAAAGATAAAAAGCACTCATCCTCACTTAATAGCCAGCAAGTATTGGCAGTGCTTGAAGTACATGCAGCACATGCAGTACTTATAGTGTTGGCAGTGTTGGCAGTGTTGGCAGTTTAGGCAGTACTTTTTTTTATATACTTCTCAAATGAATACGCTATATTCTTCGCTTCTCGAAGGCATGTTGACATTAGCAGACAGACAGCGTTGTTTTGTTTAGTCTGAATGATCCAAAAAGATAAATTTTTATTTCAAAACTTCTCGCTATTTTTCTATACCGATTTTACAGACAGACTTCTCTTTCATTCCTAATTCGCGAAAGGTCTATTGTGATAATCACAGAGTATTCAAAAGAAGTAGTTGTCTTGAAGTTGTAATTCATATCGATGCTGCAGAATGTAATTTGAAACTCCTTTTTTAGGTATCCTAGTTGTGATCGGAGGGCGAGTAACGAACTGTTGATTTTTTGTTACGTGTTTGCCTTGCGGTTGCTGTTTCTAAAATATATGCGCCCATAGGTGTTATGGCTTATGAAAATCGAACTTACCATTGGGTTCGTTCATGATTGCTGATGTGTCTATCGATAGTCGTTCCATGAGAAAACGATTTCTTTGGATTTCGTTGCTCAATTTCGTTGAGAATAACCATGCCTTCGATTTTATATAATTGATCCCAAGTGTTCGGGGCAGTAGATCTGTTTGATTCAGTTTGAATGAGTCGTTAAAATCGTTGAATTGTATACGGTATTTTGCTAGCTTTGCAGCAAATTCTTTTTGCGCTGAAACACCCTCTCTTGGATAACCTTTTAAGTATCCCTTCATGCACTTGATACCACTCTTCTCTCTCTTCGTGGCAAACCAATCGTCTTCGATTAATAGTTTGTCGTTGATTAAATTTTTAATGATTTTTTCTCGCACTTTCGAAATTTTCACAACGTGCTTCAGCTTCACGCATATTTCTGACCTAGTCATCACTATTGAATCACTCAAAATTAATTTTGAATAGATGTGTGAGAGTTCGTCTTCATCGATAGTTGTTACATCTAAAGAAAAGTGGATACTTATTTTAGTGGGAATAGTGAACAATCTTTTACTCGAATCTGTTTCTTCATCGGTGTCGACCTCTGATTGGTTAATATCAGTGCCATCAGCGTGTTTATCTTCGTACAGTTGAATACGTTGGGGTTTTTGTGATTGTTTCTTTTGCCGTTGAGCATATGTGAATCATGAGAATAATTTACACCACTGTCTAAAATAGAATGAAAAGTCGAAGCAGTTCTACTGTTCACGTATGTTCTGTTGGAAATGACTATTATTAGCTGTGTTCTATCAACCAAACTTTTTAAGAAGGTGACCTTGGTCATCGATGTATCTCCGGATCAATCTCTACAAATATTGATTCATCAATATCTTAACGCATTCAACGACCGAATCGTTATCGTCTCAAGAATTGTTTCACCATTCCATGATTGAATCGCTATGTAGATTTTTCAATTTGTTAGAAACTTACTGTTAACATTGCCAGAAAGGTTCTGAAGCTCAGCCGGCAAATCAAAAAATTCTTCATCACTGTTGACTTCTGGCCGTGTAATCACCTCGTATGAATCGACTCGACGTCGTTTGCTTGTAGAACAATTGCTTACTTCCAATACTCTCTTCATTAAATCGCCCCGTTTCTGGATCAGTTCATGAATAAGTTGAGTCGTTTGTTGTGAATTCATTGTTTCCAAAAGTGTTGGCAAATCAGACGCAGTTGGTTCCATTAACTTGAATTTATCGACGTTTGATGTTGATAAGTTTGTTTCAGAATTAACTTAAAGTTAGTTAGATCGCAAAAATTCAATCCACTATTTTTCTGTAGCATTTCTCACTTGATTGATGGTCATCATCTTGCAACTTGTTGATATTTGTTTGTTGATGAACGGATCCTTGAAAACTACGTTGAATCACGATTGATGATCGACATAAAATAAAGAGAAATGAATCCACAGGCTCAATTGTTTTGTAGTTGAAAGTTTGATCATATCTCACTGGGCACATCAACAGTAATCGGCATTGGGTCTGAAAGTGATTCAAGTTCACGTAACAATTCATCAAGCGATGATTCGTCATCATCCTTTGAGTTTTCATTTTCGTTGTCACATTTCTCTGCAGCAAGCGGTGTAATGATTATTGGTTGATCATTGTTAATCAAACCACGATATTCATCGATGTACGTCTGATTATTGTTACATTGTGCGATAATTGATGTTGGAATATTACCATTAGTTTCGGTCGCTGGTGACGTGAGATCTAAAAAGTTAGTTTGTAAGGCATCAGTCTAATCATATTGTGTAATATTAAAATGTATGTGCTTGTCATGGACAAATGATAGAGACAGGGATGATGATCATAGCACTTTTCAAAATTGCCCACCTCGATCAATAACCGGTGAAGATGGTGCGATGTAGTATTGTTTTCGTCCGAACATCATTCTGTATGGTAATTGTCGTTCTTCCATTCGTTTTTCAATGCGAGAATCATTGAACAAGTGAGAAATTTCAATGAAGCTATCGTTTGATAAAATGAAATCAACTGCATAATCAGTTAATTTGAGATCTTCAGGTAATGGCGATGACATGTAACGATGTTCACATTCATTTATGTCAATATTCAATGATTCCATAAAACTTTTCATCGTTTCATCTTGACGAATAATCGACGGTAGTGTTTTCAAATAAGTTTCCTTTCTGGCTGTCACAATATGTCGGTCGTCGCCAATACCTTTTTGAAGAATTCCGTTGTTCAGTAAGTTTTCAATTGCGTTGCATAGTTTAATCATTTTTGTTTTTGATTTTCGATAACCGGAAAAAAAATTTGTAAATGGAAGGCCAGTAATATTGTTGCTAAACCAAGTTCTAAGCAAAATTGGAGATGCCATTTGTAGTAATATTGTTTTTTCTTCCACAAAATTCCTAGAAGATTGATTTGAGAACAGAAACAATACTAGAGCAGAAAGGCTAATGAAACATCAGGATCGTCTTCTTTCATTAGTCTTACTCAATATTATATGACACTGAAAGAAATAATTCCTCAAGAATATCAATACAGAAAACTTACACGTGAAACAAACCACCAGTTTTGCAAAAATTATGCTCATTGCTTTGATGTTCTCTGTTGGCACTAATCGGAGAATCTTCGAAAAGAATAGAAATAGTTGTAGAAGCATATTGAAATAAATGTTCAGACGCCTGAACTGCAGCTTTCTCGATGTTGAATAATGGACGTTGATCAATACCGTATTTTGGAGCACGACGAATATCACCAGCAATCAATTCTTTTACTTTGACATAGAATCGATTCAGCCAATCAAGCTGTTCATAATCAATTGATTCTTTCAGAAATAGACCATCACCAAATCGAACCTGGTTCACACATTCAGTACATAATTTAAAAGCATATGACAGGGCTTGACAAATTCCAGCAATTCTAGCTAATTTGTTACTACTTTTTCTTTGAAATGCTCTTTGCAAGGGAGTGTACAAAGAATTTCCATTAACATCAGTTTGTAACGATTTTTTATGCTCAGAATCGATGATGCGACGCATGGCATCACGAGAAGACAGAAGAGATCCAACATCTTCATCATCCTTATCAGCTGCTGGAATAGTGACTGATGGTTTCAGTAGTAACATTTTTTCAGTTGTTGGAATCGGATCGATTATATTTTGTCTCGCCTCCGCAATATCTTGAGGAACAAGAACTAAACAAAGAAACAAATATTTGAAAAATGACACTCCAGCATTTGTGAATTAAATTGCATACAACCTGTAGTTGGTATTTTATTTTCTTCTTCGTGTTGCGTGAAAACAAAAATTGGTTTATACTCCGCTAACAGTCGAATAACAATAAGTATGTGTACAATATTCGGTTGGACCGAGAGAACTCCGGTCGGTGTATTATTCATGGTCTTATGAGCAGATGCTCCGATGTAAATGTAACGACTAACTGTGCCGTCTGACATTGTATTGCTATGGTATTGACGAAAAATGGGCGCAAGCATATTACCCGTCGATGCTCCAAAAATATTCACTGAACCACGTTCAATGTTGAATGATGATGAGCCAGTTGTTCGCGACAGATTTTTCACTGAATCGTAGCATTGGCATAATAGTTTGGAACCAATTGTTTTGCTATCGTTGCCCATGTTGCTGGCTAGATACACACCAAATCGAGTGTTCATTGCGTCCAGCTCGTCAGTAGAAATAAATACATTTTCCTAAAATGGCAACATTTAAATATCTTGCGATGCCAGCTGATCAATTATTCTGACTTACCCTTCTTGAAAGACGTTGAAACAATGCTAATTCTGTATCATTGGCCGTTACCAAATCAACATTCATTTGCTTCTCTTTCTCATTGAAAATATCAACTACGGGTTTCGAGAAGAATACTGGAAATATCTTTTTGAGAACATTCAAACTATTCTTAAACACTATAAATAGGCCTGATTTATTTGTGCCTATAATAAGAAAAATGATGAAAGTTATAGATGATGAAAAACAATTACCAGGTTCACCGATCAGGTGGACAAACAAATTCATTGGTGTCATAAAGCCCGTACCATCTGGGTTAAATAATTCGGCACCATCAAGCATTACAGCTGAGTGCACGAGCATAGCGAAAACAAATGGTGCAATGTCAAGACCCAACTCTTAATGTTGTTCAAAGAATCGTATTAAAGCCGGTTGACAAAATGAACTAAAAATTGTTTTCACGTTGAACGGAATAGGTGATGTATTAGTCAATTTGAAAATATTTGCACTGATTTGTACAGCATATGAATCGGATTTCGTGATCGGCATTTCTAAATATTGATTTCTTTCATTCGTTTCACAAATACTAGACATATGCTAAAGAATACATCGTGGAACAGAAGCATTAGTCGACCGAAGGAAGCATCTAGATGTTGGTTAGAACCTCCTTAACAATTTTACTAGTCGTTCTAGTCAACCATTAGCCCCATGAGATACGTTCAATCATCAGTGAAATGATGTACATGAGGCGAATCGATTATCGAATTTCAATTTACCTTTTCAACGTATACCTTGTTGTGCAATGTTTCCCTATTGAAATTCGTAGAACTATTGAACCAAGAGAAAATCTATCAAAAAGAAAGCGCATATACATAATTAGTTCATGATGTTCATGAGTAATTTACCCGATGATACAAAATAAATGATGATTAAGAGTATGTTTATTGTACGATTTGATAAAAGTTAAAAGCACGTTGCACACAATCTATTCTTTAGTGCGAAATCTTAGTACGTTTTTTTCGTCAATGATGTAATATTGTTTCAATAATCTGAAGTAAAAAGACAGATTCTTCTCAATATTCATCAGTATGTTATTTCATTGCATCTCTGCATTGCATCGAAATGTAACGTTCAAAAATGATGATTGTGTGTGACTTGCGTGTTCGTTGAAAGGGTTGATACTGGAGGAGGAAGGATTCGTCCATCTTGTTTGGCCTTAATATTCGTTACAATGTGCAATACAGAACGAAGCAAAGAATCGTCTATTGTATATCTTTGAACAATTTTCTCGCATCAATTCGAAGCCTAAGTCAAACAAAACAAAGCAGCATCGCTTATCGTTCACGAACATATATGGACTGATTCAAATATTCAGAAAGTCAATAAATAAAACGAATAAAATGCGAAAAATTAGTTAGAAGGAAATCATGCCGACATTTTATTCTTTCGCAGCTGGCCGTGTGCTTTAGTTAGTCAGTTGATCATTTGCTTTTCATCGATTTATGTGGCAGTAGTTCTTCTATTGGAATCGGAATAGAATCTATGATTAAATCTGAACTTCAATACAATCTTATGTCTTTTTTAGAAGAAAGATGACGCATTTGCGTATCTTTTGCATTGTGCTTCACAATCGTATTGTTTTTTTCAAACTTCATCTGTGTGTGTTGATTCCATCTACAGTTTGATAAACCGAGTACATGTATTCATCCGTCAATGATGTTCACTTCAGATGATCGTCTTACGCCTAATCGTTTTTTCGAACTGACCGAATTTACATCCCTGATTTCATTCCGATACTAACAGGCAAACAAGATCGAAAGACAGTGATCTCCAATCATTTCTATCAACAAAATCAATATGATTACAATTGATAAATAATAATGATAGACATATTTTAAAAAATGTTTCATACATATCGTAATAACAGCACATGTTGATCAATAGAAAATCTCTCTTTTCAAAATTGAAACATACCTATTTTAAACAAATGAATTAGTTCTACAACATAGTGGCTAATCTTCGAATCTAAATGCTTTATTTGAAAGAAAAATATGTGATCAAACAGAAGTTTAAACGGACTCGTTAAAATCTTCTTCGGATTGACTTTCCTCATCAGTGTCACCTGTTTCTGTTTCACTTAATGTTTCAAAACTATTGCAAACCGGCTGTGTCGAGTAGAAGTCTTTGATTTCATTGGCAAAGTACAAGTGAGATAACCCGACACTAAACTCATCAATACCAGTTATGCGGCAATTTTTCAAGTGGAGAATTAGCACTAGCATAATAGTTGAGTATGGGTAGGAAAAATTTCGCAACGAATACTTGGGACGTGATAAAAATTGGAACGCCTGCTCAGCAGCTTGACTGTTTAAACTAAGAAACCTTCCTTCATGTGAAGGATGATCGGACTTCATCGTTGACCGGCAAATTGATCGTGAATGTGTGCGCTGGTGGAAATTATCAATAGCCAGATATTGAGGTAATTGTTTCGTAACACTCGATATTTTTAGCATTTCAGTACCTAGCCATTTATTCCAATGAAGTTTCAACGTGCACGCACAGTCGTACATTAGAGCGTCTGGCATTAGACATCCATGGATAATCATCAACAATAAATGTCGAGTTATTGAACGCATGCCCTCAGCTCTAATAGCTTCATTGAAACCAATGGCAACTCCACAAGGATGGTACGATGCCAATATTCCGTAGGTTCGATTTTTTAAAATTTCTTCGCTATCATCTCGATAAATGCGGCATTCTTTTTTGTGATCTTCCAGCGCTTCTTGATCTCGTTTCTAAAAAAAGAGAGGTCTTCAATAGAGACAAGTTGTGTTTTGATAATGAATTTCCTTCATCATAGTTAAATATACCAACTGACCGATAAGTCGGCAGCCAACACAAGTAACTTTTGTTGTTGAGCAGAAGGCGTCGTGATGTTCTTTGGTTGGTGAAAACGGCAAAAATGTGTGTTCACTATTGTTTAAAAATTATTGGCATGAGATGAATTCGCTAACAGCTCGTTTGTATGTCTGAAACTTACTTAAGCCGGGGATGGATTTTTTTCGACATGGTCCATATGGACAACCAACTTCTACAGCAGTCATTTCATCGATACTTGTTTCCACAACATCTTTGAACCCACAGACAATTCTTCGTGAATTTTGATGGCCATCCACAATCACGCATCGACTGCAATTGATTAGCTTACACTTTATGTTTGAGATTAACTTATGTCGCGACCAGAATGTTGTGAACAGATGGTACCACCAGCTTGCGCATCTCTCAAAATGATCATTGAGCACACTACGATTGATTGATATTGGTAATGCTACCAACTGTATTTTTCCTAACATGAATTCGTAATCAATTATTTTAAATAGTATCCAGTGACACTGAAACTGTTTTGTTAACTGAATACATGACGACATCGAATTGAGATTTTGATTATTGAAGTTGAATCTGTCAATAAGCGTTTGGCAAAAGGCTTTGAAAGGACATTGATTATTAAGCATCTGACAAGTGTAATCGAACAAAACTGAATGAGTAAATGCTAACCCGTCGCACAGATAGAAAATTTTCGTTGAGTTCTTCACTGAAATAGGAGTAACTCTTCGGATGCCACCTTTTGTTGACCACCATGAACAGTGTCCGTGTGATAAGTAACAATGCTTGCATTCACCTGTCACCACGACACCTTGCGTAACATTAAAACAGTCGATAATGTTGACTTTCTTGAAATGAAAACAAGTGAGTAATCCATGGCACTCCATACAAGTTTGTGTGAAAGGCATTAATATCAACTCGTTCACTATATCGACTTTCATCTTTTTCAGTTCCACGGGAATTTCTTGATTTTCATTGTGTAGCTCCAACAGCAGATAATTCGGTAAATCTTTATTCATCGAAATAACATTCGTTGCTAACAAAATTTCGTCCATGGTAAAGTTCGTATTAAAATGTTGATTGATCAAGTCTTTTATTATCTGCGTCTTTTTTTGACTAGATAACATTGTTGGTGGAAACTTCTCTAATTTGCATTGGATCCAACATATAAACACGAGGCGGGTGTACCCCACCATTGAGCATAATTCTCTGACTACAGTTTCACTGTCTGACATCTAGAAGAATACATGAAAACACCATAGAAATATACATATTAGAACTGTCACTGTCAAAATATTTGGTTATTCTTCATATCGTATTAACAAAAACGTTCAACATCAATTTTTCTACCACATTCGTCACACTGTCATCCACAAAATATTTTTCATTGAACACGTTCGTTCACTTACGTTAAACCAATCAAAACTTGACTCTGTGAAGCAAGACATATTTATTCGTTCACCAATCGCTGTTTGCGATGAACACTGACGATCAGAGTGTCTTACGTCGCAGAATGTTCGCGCATTTTAGTATTAAATTCTACGAAAATAAGATTTAGACGATATGCTAAAAGAAAGATTTCTACAACAATTCCAAATTGTGTAGAACACAGTAGAAAAAAAACTAATCGTTATTCATACTTACACGAAAGCGGCAGTATGGATATCAATTTATGGTTCGATATTGACTTCTTGAAAAACTACAATTTCAGAGCACTTGGATACTTATTTATGATTTTCACCGTGTGCGAAAAGATCATATAGTCTTCGATTGATTATTTGATTTTGATAGACGGGAGTTGTTTGCTAATTAGTTTGAATCGGTGCAAACAGACCTACGCATTTTCTTGTCGCATTCTGTTGGTTGACTAGTATTTTCATTTTTGCGATTTTTAATAAAATTTGAAAAAAATGCGATTACCCGTGGGGAACTGATGGAACTACGTTAAAGTAATACTTACTTAGTCGAGAGACAGAACGAACTAAAATTAAAAGCCGATCATCATTAAGCTAGACCTGAAAAATGAAAGTTTCTTTTTTCGCTGACGTTCAAACCTCAATTATTCTAAGACTTCAAAATTCATCAAGAAAGTTCACCAGAAATTAGTACGCACTAATCTGTTTGTTAGCGTTGCAGCGTCAACACTGCCAATGATACAAGAAGACGCCATTCAAGTGATCATAAAACCTAATGAATATCATCTGCCAATATTTCAAAGAAAAATCTTGTCGACTGGAAAGATTCGAATTCAAGTATTTCGACTATAAACTAAACCACTATTTCACACATGCTGTTCAAAAATGTTTGGTGGGTATCAATTCAATCACAACATTAGGAAAAAATTCCTGTTTGAGACCTCTCTTACATCGAATGCACACAACTCAACTCTGATCAAATTATTTCTTGAACATTGCACACTGTTTACCTTGGACAAAAGTTTGAATTTCGCCTACATTGCGGTAAATCCACACACAAAAATGGCATCCTTGCTTGACACCTGAAAAATCGGCAACAGAATGAAGCGTCAAACACTTCTTTGTTTTCCTTTTCAAAGCACTAATATGTCAACAACAACGTATTCCCTTTCCACTTCATCATTATCATAGAGCGAGCAAGATCAATGTCTAGTTTCCAGCAGTAACCATCTACGTTCACAACAATCTCGTTATTTCCTGTTCATATCGTGATTACGTCAACGTTGTCATCATTCTGCATATATTGCATCCAGTCAAATTCACCATCGACAAATCAACTTTCAATCGATCCAGCACCAATATTATGCATTTCACTCTCTCAAATCACTCATCTTCATGAAGATCGAATGTCTCGTGTGTTCTTATTGGCACCCTCATCGAGAGTGAATATCCGGACATCCACCGACTATCGGGAAACCCGTTTGATGTCCGGAAACCCGTTGGATGTCCATGGAAAGAGCCTGGACGCATCATATGCTTCTAATCCTATTTCATTGTTTCTGTTGTTTTTCTCGCATTTAAATTAAGATAATTGTACTCGATTGATTAGAAGATTGACAATGTCGACATGTTGTGTTTGCTTTAGATAATACAAATCTTGTCTATCGTAGTTTATTGATCATGTCAACGCCAAGACTCAAGCCTGTGGTCACCACTTCTGATCGTCAAACGATCATTTCCAAAGAACAACCCGTAAGTTACGATCAGTAGTATTCATTCATTAATGCATGCATGATCAATCTAGGGATTCAACGAACAAACATTATCACAAAAACTCGACCAATTATCTCCTTTTAAACAGCATCCACAACAATCCAAATGGTCAGAGATCAATCCAACGACGACGACAACAACATCATCATCATCCATAGAACGGACTGGTTCACAGACGAATGGAATGGATTTTGATTTAGTTCCTGACTATTTATGTGAAACAAACCCGTTGTTTGAAAAAAGCATCCAGTGCGTGTTGCCATCAGCAACGAATCTCGAAGAATTAAGAGATGTTGCTATTCTTATTCATAAAATTAAATCCGTTGAACTCGTACGTTCTCTTTGGATTGTTTATCAAAAATCAGGAATGGGCTCCATGCTATCACCGTTTCCAATCAATCCAACTGATGCAAAAATTTGGCCAAAAGAAGTTCAATCTTTGATGAAGCAACAATTACAAGATCTATCTATCAATGAGGATTATGCTCGTTTCAATTTTGTCAATCATTGCCTACATGAATTGAACATGAAATTTGATCGATATCGACACGAATTACATCTGAAAACGAATCGCTTAGTTGGTTATCATCATCAAATCGAAAACCACATTGAAATGTTTATTCAACGTGGAATTCAACCACAAAAATAGATATCGATCAACAAATTGCGTCTGTTCAATACGATTATACGGATGTCGTGTTGAAACGTGCCTTTCATGCACAAAATCCAAATCAACATCAAGTCAGTATCTTTGAATTCGTCTTGTTCTCCTCTATCGATAATGTTTGCATTAGATACAATGGATGAAACGCTTGTGTAGACTCAAATATGAACAAGAAATGTCCAAACATGAAGTTATCCTGTTGAAGGAAAAAATTACTGTACATATCGATCGTCATCCATTTGAAAGTACATCATTGATACAATCATCGGACATTGATAAGCTTGATGGCACATCATCAATCAGGCTAGAATTGTATCAACAATATACGAATGCTGCTAAACAAATACGAAGCAATATGATGACTAGTTACGCGGAATTTGCTGAAAGAGAACAACAAGAATCTCAAGAACAATTCGATATTGCAATGAAAGAATTTTGGGATAAGGACAAGAGACTTCCAGCCAATCGAAAATTGACAACACAGATGTGTCATACAATTGAACAACGTTTAACCAATATCAGTACACGTGCCGAAAGCTTATACAAATATAAAACTCAGTTGCTTCATCTTCAACCAAATCAACATTGATGTCGTCCGCTTTTTTTCTTAGCTTTTTTTCGAGAGTTGGTCCAGCAATCGGCTATCTTTCGTTATATTTATTCGTATCCTATCCATTTTCTTTTCTTTCTACTTTCAGATAGAAGTCACATCTTGTTTTTCGATGAACTCTCAGCATCAGATCGATCGCTCAAGCAGTCAATCAGTACCAATCGTAACCACTGAATCAGCATCAACATTGCGGATATTGAACAAGAGAAGAAAACAAAAGAAACGATGCCATGGAAATCGTAAGTTACGACGTTTTAAAAAGAAATGTCGTCGACGTGGCATGACTGATGACACAATCAAAGTATTGATTGATCAGTATAATCATACAAGACGAGGAAATCCATCCATGCCGGTATCAACCAGTATCAATGACCAAATGGATACTGTTGCTACGACTGAAACTGTAGAAACAAGAAGAAAATCAAAGAAACGTAAACGAATGACAGCTTCGGAAAGTTCACGATCGATTTCACGACAGTCACGAAAAAAATCCAAGAAGAAACATGTGCAAATCAATCCTGTACCCTCCGGAGTCAATGATCGACCACCAAAATACTTGAAAAAAATGCCAAATCTACTTTTTCAAGCGTTACGTTTACATATCAATCATAAATTGAATAAAAAATATCAACAACAATTTATTCATCCTCGACTTCGATTGTTCGATCGACAATATCGTCTGGAACTTCATCGTCACTTGTGGGAGTCATATTCAACTCTAGGATCGATGCATCGCTTATGGACAGTAAGTGATCGAAGAACATTTTATGTGTGACTATTCTTCGCTTTCGCATTGTGAAAGGTACATGTACACAAGAAGGCAAAAACCAAGGACCACGAACTATGTCGACAATTCGATCAATGTACTCAAGAATTATTGACACAGTCTCAAGCCTGTCCGCCATCACTCCGACTATTAGATAAACTTGATCATCAACTAAAAGAATTTGTTCTATTACAACAGAAACATCTTTCAACAAAAATGGATTCACAATTAAAAAGATACAAGGATGCAATCCAAGAAAAGGAATCATTTCAAACTTTAGTGATCCCTCATCTCAATGATGATCAAGTAAGGAAGAGGTGTCTTACTTTCTCCTATGTTCAATCGATCTTGTGTTTAGAGACTCATCATCGATCAATTGATACAATTGAAAGAAAAGCAATTCGAAATCTTCGAAGAATTCATGAAATTAGAAACACGAATTTCCATGCGATTCTTACCCAAACATTTCGATCTTCTAGAAGATTTCATCGCACCTGATCTTTACACGCCTATCACTAGAAATTCTCTTGCGATCGAATTCAAACAACAACGATATAAAATGATCCAGGAAGCGAAACGTACTTGGTTAAATATTTTCATTCGTGTTCATGAAACCAAGTATCGTGACTATGAAGATCAATATCAAAGACAACTCAAACAAATTGCATTGGATAGTTCCACACGCGCTCATCTGACTACTTACATCAATCATCGAACACATCGAGTACAACAAGAGATCTTCTCTGAAAAAATACCAGTGTATCGTCGAAAGTTAACACATCTTCGTCGTCAACGTTTGAAGTCCAACCGGAAAACGGTCAATGTCGCTCCGTCGGTTATTCTTGATATTAACCGACATCCATTTACTCATCGAGAAATAGCATATCTTTCGAGAGGTTCGAATGGTTTTGTATGATTATGGATTCATTTTGATGATGTTCATTCTTTAGGTCCGAATTATATTCGACCGAATCAGAGTACACTTCGACCAAGGAATCAACGAGAGAAGCAAGTTGACCAAGAGGCAACTGATTACATGAAAAAATTGATGCGATGCATGGTCAATATGAAAGATCGACCGAAAATTCCGACGACAGCATCGATTTATAAATCATATGAAGATCGTCTTCGAGCTGATCTTCTTGTTCGATATCTAGCTCCATTGCCTTTGATCGATCAATTACGTGCTCGACGAGAATTGAAAATTGTCAAATCTATTCGACAAAAATTAAAGAAATATCGGCTTTTACTGCGTCAAACAGACAAAAGTGGTGTCCTACATATTGGTCACGTTAAAGATTATGAACGGAAAGCAGCTGAATACCGACAGAAAACGGGCGCTTATGAAGAATTAACGTCGAATCCATTCGCTGATATATTCAATCGAGTAATACAATTACTGAATAACCTACGTTCAGCAGATAAAATCAAAGAAAATCAAAAAACAAAAATGATGCCTATTCGAGCGAAGACAGAATTAGCTTACATGTATTTTCTACCAAAAACACATAAAGTAATGACATATACATTTGATTTTGGTCGAATTCTATGTTTCTTCTCTATTTTAAAGAAAGGAACACCACTTCGACCCATTATCAATACCATCCATGCAGCAACCACTGCAATATCGAAATATTTAGATAAATTAATACGACCACTATTTGATAAACATGTTCGCGAAACGACCATTGTCGGCGGCGTTGATCTTCTCGATAAACTTCAAAAATACACCGCCAAAGGTTATTTAACTTCGTCGACTTTATTAATTACATTCGATATTACAAATTTATATACGATGTTACCACAAGAAGAATCTCTAAAGATTCTTGGTGAATTTCTTCGTGAATATCACTGTGAAAAAGCCAATGGCATTTCTATTGAAACATTAGTAGAATTAGGTCGGATTGTCTTGGAAGCCAATGCCTTTGTTTATGGTAAGAAATTCTATCGGCAAATTATTGGTGGTGCCATGGGTTCAGCATTTACATTAACATTGGCAAATATCTTCATGTGGAAATGGGAAAAGAAAACAATGCTCTCAAAGCTACCATCGTATGAATTGTATGGACGGTGAGTATCTACAGCATTCTATCGCTTGTATCAACCTGATTATTTACTTCTTCGTTTTTTTTTCTCTGCTGGTAGATATATTGATGATGTGTTCTTTACCTGGAATGGATCAGAAGAAAATGCAAGAAAACTCTTAGTTTCAGCCAACAAATGGCATGTAAATATTAAATTAGACTATCAAATTGGTAGAAGTGTCAATTTTCTTGATCTTCTCGTTAACAATCGAAATGGTACTCTTGTCTCATCCGTCTATCATAAACCAGCAGCACAACCGTCTATTGTATCCTTTTTATCTGATCATCCTCGATATGTATTTCGAAATGTGATTCAAACGGCTCTCATGAGAGTGATACGATATTCCTCGACATTTGAAATATTTAATCACGAGAAACGTAACATTCGGCTCATGTTACTCTACAATGGGTAAGGATAGCGTGGTCCACTGTTTTCTTTCAACTAAAAGACAATCGATTCATGAATTTAGCTATCCATCTACCTACATTAATAATCAATTTCAACGATTCTTTTCAAAATATTTACCGACATATGTACCATCGATATTGCCGTTCATCGAGAATGCACAACAATTTTCGATCTTACGTGAGGAATTACTTGCACATCCATCCATTCAACAAATATTGACAACAAAACGAGCTGCTAACGTCGATATTCTCATAGACTCTTATGCTAATCCTCAGAATGATGGATCAACAACTATGCAGAACACACAGGCAATTGTGAAGGAGACAGACAGCGATAAAATTTAAAGATAGAATATTCGTTCATTGTTTACATGAATCACGCCTTGGAAGTCTCAAACAACACGTACACGAAATTCACAATCATTTCTTCCAAAATACACCCAATCACGATATTCGATTGATCGTCGGTCATCGAAATAATCCAAACGTGGAATTTGAATTAGCACGAAAACGACCACGAGCGTCCTTATTGAAAGATCCGTTACAACGGAATGGTGAATATTCTCATTCTTTCTATTCGAAGCTTTGGAATATTCTGCTTTTTTTCTATTCTTAGAACCTCAACCCAATAGAATACCGCTGGTCACATCGTAATTGTCTGTCTATTGTAGTTGTTCCCTTTTTTTACGATCAATAGAAATCAGTTTTATTTCATTTTCTCTTATTCTCATCTGATTTATGTACTCTGTTGGTCACTTCATGAATATTGTTCATTGAAATTTCTAGATCATACAGATAATCTATTAAACAATCATGTATATTCGCTCAGACCAAGAAGAAAAACCAAACAAAACTCAAAAGAGTCGAAAGGCACAACATTTCAAAAAGAAACATCGTCGATCAAATGGATCTGCTAGAACAATACCAAAACAAATCGATCACTCGTGTCCATCGTTGGATACAGTCGCAGGGATGAACAATGGTGTGGCCGATTTATTTCCATTATCTTCGATAAAGAAAAAATACCATGCGATATGTATGGAATCAAACGTCGACCCTACATTGTTTCTCTCTGACTTTGCTGCGATGTCCAATATTACTTTGAAGAAAATGTTATTACTTGCAACCGATCAAAGTCAAACGTCTCTAATCCATTCGTTCGATGATGAAGAAATGTTAACATTCATTCGTCGAATAACTCAGATTGTCAATATGTCGAACTATTCAAAATTGCAAGAAGAGCAATGGTCACATTATCATCATTTAGGTGTCACCGAAGGTATTTGGACTAGACGGATTTCGAAAAAGAACGCTCTCGCAAATTCAATGTCTAACACATATGGTCGACAAAAAGGATTAATCGAACAGCATATGAAAAAATACAAAGAAAATGTTACGAAAATTGATGTTGATCTCAATGAATGTATGAAGCAAGCTCCTCTACATTTGACTGATATGAATACACTGATGGCAATCATTCTTGATCTTGTATGTAAAGATCAATCTTCTTTACGTATTGAACTCAGACGTCGAAGAAATATGCTCAAATTGGAGGCGAAAGATCATCGACTCGTTCAAATGTTCTATCAATCGAAGCCGAGAAAAACGGAGGTATATAAATAGATCATCTATCGATATTCGACTTATGTATCCTCCTGTTTAGATTCATTCAGCAAAACTGATCTGGAAAGCAATCTACGAAGAACAAAAATTGAAATATGAAATATTCATGTTCAAAACATGGCTCTCTGTCAGAGCCGAAGTTACCGATTGCACACTACAAGATTTGTCATTGTCCAAGATCTATGAAATCTTTACACAGGTAGTTTTTAATCACCATTTACATGATAAAAATCAAAATTCAACTAATCAACACAATGAACAAAGTGATTTCGTCGATATTTTCTCCAAACAAACAATACTTTTAGCTGAACAAGTAGCTCATAATTATGCCGTAAGGGCTATTGAAGAAACAAACAAACTGGTCAATATGAGAGAAAAAAGTAAAGATGTTACTGTTCTCAACAAAACCATCGATGCTATCGGAAATCGTACAACACACTTGATTCAACGAATGCAATATGATACAGAAGAAAAGCTGAAGATGATTTTTAGTTTCATGTATGACGAGAACATGAGCATCTGATTAGACTCTGCTGCAATAGAGAAAATGATCTCTTTGTGAACTAGTTTTCTTTCCTTTTCGTAATTGTATTCAATTGAAGTTGTTTCTTTAATCATTTCTCATTTAAAAAAACTTTCTCATATGATATCAGCTCGATTTCTTTGTTTCAGATTATTTTCCAACTTTTAGATAGAATTTAACGATCACACGCATCATTCTCACTGTTGAAACGACCTATTCAATGATAATACACAATAAACGATCGATAAAAAGATGAATCGTTCGAAATCTCATAGAAGAAAAGGAGTTCATCGAAATAATTTGATATTTTCTTGATGAAAGGATATATAGCGTTGGATTGTGATATTCATCCGATATGTATTCCTGTTTAGATCATTCCATTGTGATACTGCCCATGGGATTCAGTTCCGATTCATCTTCGTCTTCTGTTCAATTTTTTTCTTATTTTCTAGATATAACACAGTAGAATTACTCACATAGAAATACTGAAAACTTTGAAAAAGATGGCTCTTCAGATTTATGACTTCATCGATCAAATTCGCCGAGTGATTGAAAGGATGCACAAGATGATTCTTCATCAGAAAATGAAACAGAACCGGGTTATATGACTGATGAAAGTGACACAGTTTTCGTCTTTAAAACGGCAAATAATCAGCAGCTCAAACAAACATTGAATAGTCAATTTTACCGACAAATTTTGGAGGCACAGAATTACCTATTATTTGATGTATACAATAGTAATGGTATTTATATATGCACAAAAAAAGAAATACAAAGAAAGGTGATGGTACAGATGAATCGAACCAATGCCTATGTCGTAGTTGAAGAACTTATTGTGATAAATCCAAACTGCGTTCGACGACATTTAGACACCATGGTCAAGCAAATTACTACATCATTAAAGGAATAAGTCGAATGTCATTGTATCAATGATTCACAATTTCGACAAATGAAAGTTGAACGATCGAATGTTCGAATGGATTATCTCTTTTTCTTACCAGATCTACGTCGAGTAAGTAGTTTACTTTTTTTGTGTATCCTTTCATGTCTGAGAGTGTGTAATATTGAAATAGAAAAAAGTACCATTTCAACCTATCATGATCTATCAATTGGGACCAACAATGGGGATTGCTCGTTATATCAATCGTCTTCTTCAACCCATCTATTATCGCGTGGCTTCTTTAACGACATTTTTCAAAGAAACAGATGCTGTACATGCGATGGACATTTATACACAGAAAGGTCTATTACTTCCAACTACACTGTTTGCTACTCTTCATATTCACGATCTATGTACAACAGTATCACACGAAGAAATGATACAAGCATTGAAACGCTTTCTCGATGAATATTATTCACCTGAGCAACTTACCCGCGGTCTAAGCATCGATACTATTGTAAAACTGGTTCAAATCATTCTTGAGAATCAACTATTGGTCTTCCAAAATAAAGTGTATCGACAAATCAAGGGAAGTGCCATTGGTTCACCTTTAACGATACTGTTGATGAATATCTATCTATTCTATTGGCAAACAGATTTAGTGAAGAGACTGGTTGGTAAAAATGAAATATTTGGTCGATGTTTTAATGAAGTATTCCTCACTTGGAATGGCTCTGAAAATGAATTTCGTTCACTATTACATACTACTGTTAATGGGAAACGATCTCCGATAAAAATCACAACTTCAATGGGACATCGAGTGAATTATATCGATGTTCACATCAGTCAGATCAATGGCAATCTTCAAACTGGAGTCAATCACGATACCGACACAGAACCACGTTGTCTTCCGTATGTATCTGATCATCCGCGTCGCATGCATTCAACGTTATTTCGAGCAGCACTCATCCGTGCCGTACTCTGTTGTTCGAATATTATTGATTTCAATAATGAACGACGGGACATCGAAGTGACATTTAATACCAACGGTTACACTTGGGATTATATCAACGAACATGTTAACGAATTCTTTAGAGAATTTAATGTCAGAGAATTAAAATATCAAATGCATGAACATAAATATGAAAAACTTCGTCGTCTCGTATTCAAATATGATTTACAACAGATGGATATGAAAATGAAACAACGAAAGCTTCAACAAGATAAGGAAGTCTGGTATATTTCATCAAGTTTGAAGGGCAAAGCACTGACAGACATACGAAGTAGTTACGAAACAATTTGGAAGCATTATATTGATGATAGCATAGAATCGAGAAGAATCAACATCGAAATCATTACTCAACCAAAATATCCACCAAACACAAAATGATCTTCGTCGTCATGTATTCCCAAACGAATAGTCATGGTCAGTTCACTAACTTTTTCCAATGAATGTATCTGATATGATCTGATATTCCTTTTCAGATCTAAATTAGGGCATTCGATTCACAGCGATCCTCCCGAAGATCGTTTCTTTGCTTCTTCGATTACTCATTAATATGAAATTGTCGTGTTTTCTTTACTGTTGCATGAAATTCAAATTGACTTCTTTCTATCCTAAAGAGAATCAAAATAATGAATCATTCTAATTGTCATCATTTATTCTAGATGATTGTGAAATACTTATTCACGAACACAGAGCAAAACAGAAATCCTCTTAACCACATTCAACTTAGTTCTGTCTCCATTTTGGTTTGATATTATTGATCAAAATAAAACATTACCTTCTGAACTATTGACTTTGGTAATCTAGTGATCAATTGTGAAATACAACTTTGTATTGTGGTTACTGTTCTCACTCGAAAAATAGTGATGATTTACCTTTACAGGTAGATTTTCTGTACTATGTTAGAGATTTCTTGATTTCGATCGAGAAAATCTTTGAAACTAGTGCGTTGCCACTTGATAATCAATATCTTTGCTTGTGAAATACAACTTTGTATTGTGGTTACTGTTCTCACCCTCACCCTCACCCTCACCCTCACCCTCACCCTCATCATCCGGTATTAGCTATTGGTGATGAAAATGATGATTTTCTTGTTGTAGATTGTGAAGGTTTAGGCAATAATTGTGATGAACATTTTTTCCAAAAACAGGAACAAATGATTCTTGATTATCAATTGTAATCATAGAATTTTAAGATAAAATACATGAAGAAAATCTTTCTTTTGATTCAAAAATATATAATTGTAACGCTCTAGCTTGCATGCATTGGATGCATAATATTTGTCCTTTCGTCGATGATTTTTCTTATCTGATATACTAGCCTTTTTCTGTTCTTACTTCGTACATCGTGTTGTACTTTATCCCCAGCTGATTGCTCTTGCGTTCTATGGACGAGTACATAACAGGGTTACCATCTCATAGGGTCTCAAATGGGATGCACAGGTTTTGTGAAAATTCAGGATATTGCTGTAAAAAAATCATTCAGAAAAAAAACAAGGTTTTGTGAAAGACTTTATATCGATCTTTTCTCTTGCAAAAAATAGCTGAAAATATTGTTTTTCTTCTAAAGAAAAAAATGAGAAATAAAGCATTTTTGCACGAAAAATCATTTCAGTAAACTAATTGAAAATGTTCATCTGAAAAGAACATTGACTATGGTGATTAAATGACGCAAATCTTGCTGTATCAGATTGGCATGAGAGGATGGATAATTTTTACATTAGAGCTCGAGTAGTGTTTTCTATCGGTCCAATAACGTGCCAGAATTTTATCACTTCCAATCAGTTTTCGTGCAAATAGCTAGAATTCAAAATAGTCAGTAAAATTTACAAATCACTGAAGTCAATTCACATCTCTCGGAAATGATTTAAGGCTTTACAGGTAGTTTTTGAGATTTTAATTGGACGATGACTCAAAATAATGTAGAAGAAAAATTTAATGGGGTACAAAAATGCGTACCCCAGAGGCACAAATTTTTGTGGGATATAAAAGGTCGAAATGGAATACAGTTGACAATGCTGCACCCTTATTATGACAAAAAACAAAGATCGCTGTGAATGAAGGATGCGAGAGATATCGTTCATTGTTCGAGATCAGGTGAAAACGATTAGAACGGAATCACGTCTCGGCCAGGGCAGTGTAAAATTTTTTACAAAGAATCGCGTATCATGCATCGCTCTGTTTAGTTTATAGTCTTTCACTAATGAAAATAATCTTGAAGAAAAGCATTTGTTGATTGATAATTTGTTCAGAGATAGTTTAGAAATAAGATTAATTTATTGTCATTTTTGTATCTGGTTATGCTTGTAACAATATTCATTTTAATCGTCATTGAAAAAAATCCAAAGATGATGCAGTATGAAATGTATTCGACGTTTGTCTCTATCTAATCTTCAATCAATCTAATTCAAATTGATCTCGATATAACGGGTGTCCCAGAATAAATGGCCCTCTCAGTATTTTTCAAATATCTCTCAAATTTTGACGTATATACTCGATTTTTTTTCCAAAAGATAGCCCGTGCAATTCTCTACAAAGCCTTATGAAAAGACATCTTCCCACGAGCAACTATGAAATTATATCAGATCTACACTACAATGCTCCAAAATGGTCCACTTTCAAAGCACCACTTTTCATATTAACGATTTTGCGCCACTCTTTTGGCCACATACTTAGGGCATACCAAAAGTAGTGAGGAAGGCACTTTTTTTTTCCTTAAGCAGGGGCATAAAAAATGTCTTTTTTTACCAATAGATAGAGCGTGTTTCGCTCTATCTTTCTATGCTATTTGATCACTATTCAACTGATATCATAATAATAAGATTTTTATAAGACCTGTTCCTGTCCCACATGTGCTGGTAGCATGAACGTAAATGCTCGTGAGTATGTTTTGAATAACGTTTGATAGAAACAAGTTAGAGAACTGCGATTTTCATCGTTAGAAAGAGAAGACGAAGCTGCATCGAACCATATATTACCCATTTTTCTAACTTCTTTTTTGTAAGATTTACAGTTGACCTTTTTAAGAACAAACCTGTCTTGTGAGTTGTCTACAGTGAGTTTTCAATAATCATGTTCACATTCAAACCAACATCTACTAGAATTTTCTATCAAATTCTTTTGCTTTTTCTTCTTTGATAGAAAACGCATTTTTCCAATGAATAGAAAATTGAACAAAAAAACTTCAAAAATGATAATAAAAAATCAGTAATATACAGTTCGATGCATATTTATCTTCTCTTTCTAACGGTGAAAATCGCAGTTCTCTATCTTGTTTCTGTCAAACGTTATTCAAAACATACTCACGAGCATTTACGTTCATGCTACCAGCACATGTGCGAAAGGAACAGATCTTATCAAAACTTTATTATTATGATATCAGTTGAATAGTGATCAAATAGTATAGAAAGGTAGAGCGAAACACGCTCTATCTATTGGTAAAAAAAGAAATTTTTTTATACCCCTGCTTAAGGAAAAAAAGTACCTTCCTCACTACTTTTGGTATGCCCTAAGTACCTTCCCTAGAATACCAAGTCAATCCCAGTCAATTCTTATTCAATTCTAGTCAGTTTCAACTTCAACCAATTTCAAGTCTAGAATTAGAATTTGTACATTCCTAATGGGTACTGTGACATGCGTGATTTTAAGATTTCAAACGAGTTCAAAAGATTTTGGCATCCAAACTCTGCTGTTTCTCCTTGGTTACGGCCTATAGGACGAAAAAGTTTTTGGTGGCTGTCCCATCTCATGAGATAGATCAGAATCGCTCTTTCCATAGATGAATTTTTTCGTCCCATCCCATCCAATGCGGCGCTCTGGTTCTTTTATACAGTTCTATCCGATAGTTAAGTATTAGAACGGCATTTTGCCATTTTTATGTATGACATCACAGTTTAGTACACCGATAGAGCTGCTCAGATAACCTGCTTCATTATATAAATTCGTTTATTCAACCACTAGTTAACTCATCTCTCAGTCACATTTCTATTAACTGCAAAAGTTTATTATCTTAATCTCTTGACCTAATATTTTTACTTGTTTTCAATACTGACTTCTATGAAATAGTTTCCTTACCTTCAAGTACGTACTAGTATGTCGTTTTTGTTTTGAAAATCAATGAAAGACTAAATAGTAACCATCTTCTTATATAAGATCCTTTTTTTTCTCTTTGTTTTTTTTTACTTCCCAAATCGATATCTTTGAGTTTCTCCTACTTTATGATAGCTGTCTATTACAGGTTATTTATCAAAAAAGAAGAAGAGGAGGACCTTTCAAAGATACCTACGATCGCTTACAAAAAGGCAATTAAAAAAAACTTATCTTTTAGTATGTAATGTGATGCCGAAAATGAAGTGGGAAAAAAGAACCAAACACAACAGGGCTTCGAATGGAATGAGATAATCCCATTCCGTGCCATGGGACAACTTAATTTTTTGAAATATCCCATGGGATGGGATGGGATGAAGTTTTTGTTCCATAGGATCTTCTTCTTTTTGTCGCATGAAAAAATGCAGGTTCTCTTTTAACAAAATATATATTCAAAATATCTTTTAAGAACGATAAATCTTAGTAGTTGTTATCCTTTCATTATTGGTCGGTTTGTTCAACACAAAATGTACTATTTCCTACTTTTTTGTTGTATTGTTTTATGGAAAAAAACTGTCAAGATTTATACGGAAATTTAAACAATGAAACCCCAAATTGATTTTGTAGCATCTACGCTTTAAGCTCTTATAATTTTCTTAATACTATTATTATAAGTATTGGTATAGATACGAAAAACATGATCATTATGAACTTTATGCAGCTATACTTTAAATTAATGTTCAACATGAGTTTTTATTCGTTTTGCGAGGGGAGGTACCCGAAGTGATTAAGAGCTTTTTAGCTGAAATTTTGCGCATAAGTAGGACCTGATAAGGCTAGAAAAAGCCTAAAAGGATAAGGGTCCATAGGCCTTTCTTCCCGAGTTATAGTCATTTTAGTGAATTTTTCACATATGAGAAGAGATTCATGGAAAAATCCAATTACAGAGTTTGGGTCTGAAATTTTGCCCACATATAGGTCTTATGACTGTTATCGTAACCTAAAAGTCTCAGCTAAAACGAATGTTTTCTTCACAAAATGTTTAGCTTTCAATAAAACCCTCTGATGCTACATACATATCAAGAAAATCGACTTTTCTTGAATACTCTATACTTCATGAAAGAAACAGTCGTTTTGGTTGAGACTCTTAGGCTACGATAACAGTCATAAGACC